GCCAGAAGGCCTGGGGGCCAGAGGGGGGCCCGCACCTGTGGAGATGGCTGGTGGGATGATGGGTTGCCCCCCCCCAGCATCTTACAGATTTTTATAGGGCCAAAATTAGAGGAGGTTTTTTAGGGTATTTTTAATATGTTTTTTAATGATTTATAGTTTTTAGCCATCTTGGAGAGAATTTTATTTCTTCTTTTTTATTGTGAGCCGCCCAGAGTCACCCGTGGGGGAGATGGGCGGCATGCAAGCCGAATAAATAAATAAATAAATAAATAAATAAATTCCAAGGATGGTCAAGTATTCCATATAATTAAGACCTGTATAGTTTGGCAGGGAAGCCAAAGGTTGTGCACTGATCTTGGTAACATTGCTGAGACTAAATGTGATCATTCACATCCAGGGGGAGGGGGGGAAGACTTATTTTTCTAAAGCAAGTCCATATAGGATTATTTAGCTCTCTATATTAACTATACTGATGTTTACTGGATTGATTTATCATGCTAATCCATAGGCTAGGTTTATACATCATTCTATGCTATGATTTGTTTAGTCATGGTTTGCTCATTTAGCTATAATAAATCTTAGAATTACAAACCATAATGATTGGATTCCCTTTAATTAATCTCACTAAGCCATAAAGCTGTTTATTTTTTGCTAAGGATGCTGTGAAAACCTAGGCACTGCAATCTGTAAACCATGATTGATATCTTAATGTATATGTAAATCAGGGCACTAGGACTTGTTTAAAAAAAAAACCTCACAATTAAAACAAAGCATGGCCTAACACAATATGCAGAGGTTCTCCATAACCCTCTGAAGCCCAGGCCTCTTTCTGAAGTATACAGAAAGTATGCTATACCTGGACTGTCTTAGTATTTTAAACCAAGCAGATGTGAGAATGTCACTTACAGCCTCAGATTACCTGCCAAGAAGGAATAGCGAGCTGCCAGCAGACTCCAGTAAAGCCTCACCTTCAACGGCCAGCAACTTCGAAATGCATCACAGCCACATCCAGTAATTGTCAGGCTGTGCCTCAAAAGACTGTCAAGACTTGTTTTTGAACTCTGGGCACCTCACTTTGATTCCAGTTGATGGTGGTCATTGTAACAGATAACATTAGTAACTGGTGCCTGAACTTGCTTAATTTTACTCTTGGTTTCTCATTCCCTTTCCTTGGTGCTGTGTCATTTAATCTGTAAGCCTGCAGCCAGTGACTTTTATTCTGTAAGTGGTGGTGTGACTTGCTCTTCTACAGCAAGAATTATCTAAACAAGCACAATGAACTAATACATTACCATCCCCCATTCTGCCAAAAAACCCAGATAGTAACACAGCAATACCTATTCCATTTTTCTGCTTTTTTTGTCCGGACTTTTTTTTGGACCCAGCTGAATCTGAAGGTGGGGTGGGCTGTTTTGTTACAGGTACAGGCTCCACTTTTTTCCCTGCAGACTTAGAACTCTCCAACTCTTTTGACACAAGTTCCTCTGAATTGCTCTTGTGTTTCTTCTCCTTCTTCTTGCGCTCACGGAGACTGCTGGGGGCCTCTGTCACATTCAGCGGGACAGGAACGATGTGCTCCTCCTCTGCCCCCAAAGCATCTGCCAGTCTGAAGTCCTGAGGGGCACTTTCTGAGTCAGACTCATGGAGGTTCCCATTCTGGACCTCTTTTTTCTTGCTCTTCTTCTTCTCTGCTTTCTTTTTATCAGTCTTGCTAGGTGGAAGCTTTTGGTCCCTCTTTTGTTTGGCAAGGGCTTCATCATATAGCGTTTCTTTCATAAAAAGCCAAAAAAAGAGGAAGATAACAGCAATCACAATAGAGGGTACTAAGACGATAAAATAGGGAGACTCGTAGAATTCCATTGTGCTTTTTCTTAACTATGAGAATATATCTGCAAAGAAAATGAGGACACATGAGAATAAAATCTGTTAGGAAAGCTTTTTTCAAAGCAGTGTTTTTAACAGCCATATCACTGAAAGCAGTGGTGTTTCCAAGTAGCTGACCAATAATGAGAATATTTTCAATTTTTTCAATCAATAAAATAAAAAAATCAATAATAAGAATACAATGTTTAGAATGAAGCAAAAGGAGAGAAGAGAAGCAAAACTACTTCACTGTGTCTGATGAAGAGAGGAGGATTTTGGTTTGGTTATCTTAGTTGTTACTTAACAGCAGCCATTCCAACCTAAGAACTTTAAACAATGATGCCCAAGATTGCTTTTTTCTTCTTCCCTCCCCAATCCTGCTTCTTGTATGCACTGCCTTTTAAATTATAAAATTGAAGAAATTGATTACGTAAGCTGTTTTAGATTTTTTTTACCTCATCACACATTATAATTATATACTTCAAACTATTAAAATCATTTTTCATACAACAAAATTAATGGCAAGATAAACTTTCCTGAAAGGAAAGCAGCAAGACAACATTTGAATTCTTAGTTTATCTTAGGAAAGTCCTTAGTTTAGGAAAAAGACTTGCTACCTCATCTATGGAGTAGTAGTCAACAAAATTCCTCTAAGGTGAAATTTCTACAACCCAAGTTAAAGTTGTAATAAAATTATTTATTTGATTTAAATTCTGTCTTTCTACTCAGAGTACAAGAGATAGTTAGCAGTGACTACAATACAAATTCATATCTTTAAAAAACAGTAATTTAATCAGCTACTTAAAATCTAGGGAAAAGGACACAATCATCAAGCTTCCTAAATGAAAGGAATGGGGGAGAGGGGCAAACATAACACCAATGAAATTACATTACATAGCTACAATGCTAGATTAGCATATATAGCCAAAAAGAACCCAGGAATTCCAGAATAAAGTATGGGTGGACTGAGTTAGGATGGGTCAGTCAGTGGTAGGTTTATAAAGTTAAAAAAAAAAAACATTATAGTACTACATACACATACTGAAATTCTATACGCCTACATATTGGGTTTGAAAAACATGCTATGGAAATAAAACATGTTTAGCCCTTCTTCCTGCCCACATTAAATACCAAGCCTACAAGCTCCAAAATTTCCCTAGCACCCTACTTTGAAATATGTGGACAACCCTTTCCCTTTCTGGTAAAGGAGATGATGTCTGCTAACTTGCCCCTTCCTGGAGAGGCCCTTTCTATTGCCTTGTCTCCAATCTCCTTTTTCTGGGAAAGGTTCCTGAGAAGATAGTGGGGCTTCAGTTATCAAGTGCCCTAAAAGAAACAGTTCAGTCAGAATTCACGGTTGGGCCTGAGACAGAAACAGCACTGGTCACTCTGGTGGATGATCTTCACCAGGACCTAGATGACAGAGTGCAACCCTTCTGGTAGTCTTGGTTCACTTAGCAGCATTCACTATCATCAAATGTGGTATCCTTCTGAAATGTTTGCAATGGATGGGAGTCTAAGGCACTGCTTTTTTGTACTTCACTCTCCTTGAGTGGGTAGTTTCAATCAAAGGAATGGGAAGGAAATATCAGCTCCCTTGTCAAGCACTGCAGGGTTTGGTCTTCCCTGTAGCACTTCGTAACGTCTATATGAAGCCTCTGAAGAGATCATCTTTTGATTTGGGGAAGGAGGGTAATTGATTATGTGCTATCAAGTCATTTTCAACTCCTAGTGACCACATGGATTTTCTCCATGATGATCTATCCCTAACCTGTTCTTTCAAGTCTCCCAATAGCTAACTCATCACCACTGTAGCTGAATCTATCCATCTTGCTGCTGGTCGTCCTCTTCTTCTCTTTCCTTCTACCTTTCCCAGAATTAGTCTTTTCCAGAGAGCTAGGTAAATCAAAATGCCAGGCCAAGCAAGAGATGCTATGGAAGTCTTGATCTCATACTTGGAAGCTGCTGGTGTCTGGGTGGGAGAAAACAGGCTGAAGCTAAACTCTAGTGAGACAGATTGGTGTCTGTCCAGCCCCAACATTAATGATTAAGTGCATCCTTTGGCACATCAAATTCATCCAATGTGTCACCATACAGGCAATTTAGCTTATACACTCCCTCAATTCTTAATTTTCAGAGTCTATCCTTACAGAATGGCAGGGTTCTTTGTATCTTGTCCATCATCTCAAATGTATGCTTCTATATTTGTGACCCAATGTTTTTCTTGAGGAAGGATGCAACGCTGCCTCTTCTAAGGCAAGAGGCAATACCCCCTCAATCAAGGATGCATGTTCCCCTGCCTTTACCCAGTTATTATTTCCCTAACAGCTTTCACTAGGACAAAGGCTCAGCACACAGGTGGATAAGCTAACAGCACAAAAAAATCCTGTCAACTTCCCTGAGACAAATGGAAGATTTGCAAACTGTTCATAGTCCTTTTAATTTTTTTCCCTCTACTTACATGCCTTATGGTATATCCATAACTTAGAAAGGCATTATACAGGTTTTGAATTTCCTTCAGTTTGCTAGTTGCATCACTTATTTCATTAGCCCTGTTCATTACTGACTTAGTAACAGATCTTTTTTGTTGAATGTGGTGATGTGATTAAGATTAAGTGTCAATATATGTTTTCTTTCTATTCCTATCATTACCTCACTTCACCAGAACACCCCAAAATGACAAACTATTGCTATTCTCAATTTTCATGTTCTTATTTTATGGTCTTGTGTTGCTCATTTAGTTAGTTTAAAAATTTCCTAAGCTCCTCTTTTCTGTACTGCCACAAGATAAAATGTCATTGACATATATAAGCCAATACTTTGGCTGCAGAGATATAGATTTTAAAGCTGCCTGCTTAAAGTCATCCATACACACACACACACATAGAGGCAATAACTGCTGATAATGGTGGTGCCATAGCTGTTCCAGATTTCTGTTCATAATAAACTACCTAAAGTAAGAACCAAGGTAACATATAAAATAAAATTGTCAGAGTAGAGAGAGTTACAATGAATAAACTTGGATAGTTTATGGAATTGCAGAATTAAACAAAATGAAAAGAACATTGGGCTTAAAAACATAGGACAGCCCCAGAATTATTAGAGGGGCAAGAGAAATGTATAAACATCTAAATAATTTGAACAGGACAGTCATTAACTGTCATCTAAACAGAGTTAACTGGTATGGGGAATTCTGCTCCATTGAATAGAAGCAATATATAAGGATGTGACATCTGTTGCCAAGTTCAGTTTCAGATCTGCTCAGGAGTAAAAAATGTCAGCACACAACCATTGCCTCAGGTGGCATTACTTAGAAGTCATTTCAGCACTAAATAGTAGTTGTGAAAAATTTCCCTCTATGTGTTGCTATGTTGTTGAATGATTTTGTTATTTGTTTTTCCGGGCAAGAAAATTTTGCAAGGTAGTTGTTGATGCCTTTACAGTACAACCCTGAAGTTCAACAGCACTCCACTTCTGAATATTGAATGTCTGTGCAATTTTTTCAGAATTAGTTATCTACAGTAATTATTACTGGAAAAAAGATGTTGGGTTGACTGCATATCTAGTCAAGAGTTGCAACACAGCTTACATTCCCAAGTTATCTTGATAAGAACACAGCTGTCCTACAATCAGTCCATTTGGTCTGGCAGTTTGCATGCTGTATGAAAATCTACAGAACTATATAAGCCACTAAAATGCTCCTTCCTCTGGCTCTTGCTCCTAGTCTCCAAGTTTACAGATACAGTCTAAATGGCAACTTATATTTCACTGAATCTCGTAAGCAACTCAACTGTTATAATTCTTGTTTTGCCTTATGGTGGAATAATTGGGAGTACAATTTTAGTTATCTGATTAGACCATTAAATTTAGTTTCTGGAATTTAACAGGACAACTATTTTTCCATCCCTACTAACTTAGCTGAAGTTACCCACTTTTATGGTATGCAGCCATAACTTAAAAGCAGGACATTTTTTTAAAGAACTATGATATGAGACACAGAGGATTGGGACTTCCTTCTATATTGAGACACACCTGAGCATGTTTGGAAGATCTAAATTAGTGGCCCAATCAGGGAAGTGATTTTAATGTACAAGTAGTCCTCATTTAATGACCATTTGTTTAGCGACCATTCAAAGTTACAACAATGCTGAACAAAGAGGCTTACAACTTGCACTTACAACTGTCACAGCAGTTTTCTGGTCCCTATTGTGGTCATTAAGTGAGGACTACCTGTAATTAAAAATAGTTAATAGGATAGAAAATAACACATGTAAATAAATCAGTGCAAGATGAATATAGCTTTTTCAATACTTTATTTACTAAGTAAAGCCTCTCCTCTAGCCCCTCTTGCTCTCTGAAATCTAGTTTGAAATATCCTCAATCCATCCAAAGCAGATCAATGGAGGGCATGCAAGGAATAGGGAATTCCATTCCAGCTGTTTCCACTCTGCTCCAAATACAACCCAGTTAGTGGTACTCAATATGATAAAACCTTCACGCACCACACATAGGTTTTCCAAACTGCGGTCTGTACTAAGCTGAAGATATTATGAATGTTATCACCTCATTGGATCATGTACAAATTAAAAAGTAAATAACTAACACATATACAGAAGTTGAACTCGTGATCTTTGCAAAAACAACCATACATAAAATAAAGGACAATGTTTTCAATTAAAATTAATAGAAAACCAACATTTCACAAACACATAGGACTCTATGAAGGCAGTTAAAAGAAAAAATACATCAGTAAAATGAGCAATATTAAGAAAAAGTATGAAGCACATTACAACTAGAAATAGTTATGCTAAAAACATAGAAACAAGATAGAAATGTTCTTTTGATTGAACAAAATGTAGGTGGCTAAGAACACAAATGAAAACTTTAGTTACATGGCATGCTGAAGGCCATACTATAGATGTGGGAAGAGTCAGGATCCAATGTGGTTTTAAGGGTGAAATCAATCATTTTGCCCCATAATCCCCTCCATTTTTTAAAAATGGTTGAACTTTTGCACCGCATCCAA